ACCAATTCATTAGTTGTAATTTCCGTTAAAAAACATTTAGAGATATAGAAACACACTTATTGTTGAGATTGTAGTAAAATTATTTTATTGTTATGCATTTGAAACTCTTTGGCCCCTAGCCCCCTTTCCTCTGGAAATAATTGTTTTTATAATACCAATTTGATAATATGAATGTTCTTAGGAATGTAATTATAACAATATAGTAGGAGAGACTATATTGTTTTTAATTAAACAAGAACAGATGAAAATAAGAATAGATTATAACCAAATGAAAAAATGTACTAGATGAAACTTCTATTCTGCAGAAATAGAAATCAAAGATATAGAGGAAAAATTTCATAACCAGTCTAAACATCCAAGGAAATGAATAGAGTTAAATGGATAAAAGGTAATTAGATGACCAATTATCGAACTCTAATTTAGAATGTGGGCTACTTAATGGCAATACACATCTTGTTACCCAACCCCAAAGAGATAGCTTAACATATAGTATTTACTATTATTGTTAAATAAACATTCTTTTCTTGAATTTATAGATAAAATAATGAGGGTTTTAAAAATAGAGCAGATGGATAAGAAGTAAAAACTTCAGTTATAATAAAAGAAAACTTTCCATATGTAACAACTACACTGACATTGTTGGGTTTCTTTTGAGCAAAGTTAAGGAATGCAAGACATAAATAAATAAATTTTTAAATTTCTAGGACAAAGAAAATGTCTTAAAGCACATGTGAAGGAAAAACATATATGCTTTTGTAGATTGCCTTCATCTTTCTTATATAGAGCAAGAACTTTTTAAAGAACACAGGTAAATGTCCACATAATTTTAGGAGAAACAACTTTGAAGTATACTAGAAAGTCTGGTTGTTTCCTTATGAGAGTTCAATCACTTCTACTTGCTGACATTTTACAAATGGAATTGGAGATAACACCACTGATGCACTAAGCTACATCATTTTCATTGTACCAGCTAGTATTAGTTTTAACACGATGGTATATTTGGAACTACAGCTATTTATGTAGAAATGGAGTTGTTCCATAAAACGTTTTATGCCTACCCAATTATCAACTTATGCATAAAAGCAACAGAATAACAAAATCTTCCAGGTATCAGAGAATATAACAACCAAAAGTCTTTTCTGCAAAAATTGTAGAGAAATATTATCCAGATCACTGAGAGGTGAGATAGTATAAAAACTCAAGAATAAGAAATTCCAGTAAAAAAGATTAATACTAAGCATTGAGGGAAAAGACAAAATAAGTGAAATATAGTGAAATCAAAGTGAATTGGGAATTGATGCTGATAGCTAGATATTTTTTACTAAGGGAGCAATGTTTTCAATAAAATAATCCTGGAGGGTTTTACATTTTTAAATAAAGCATCTATACCTAGTGATCACAATGTGGAAAGAGGAGAGGAAGGAAATAAAAGCATTAGAAGAAGCAGCATTGTTGCTTTATTTTCAAGTCATTAAATAAGAATGCATGTAAGTATAGTTGTAGACAATTTAGTGTCGGCACTAGTTGAATTGAAAGCAGGATATCTATTTTCTAAATAATTATCAAAGATAAAAAGACAAACATAGTCCATTCAAAAGACAAAATGGAAAGACAACAATAACGAACGATTTAAGAGAAGAAAGTTTAAGTTCAATCAAGCTTAAAAATTATGACAAGTATAAATGGCTTAAATTTTCCTATTCAAATGGAAAGATCCTTAGATTAAATTAAAATGAAAGTCTAATGATTTGATGGTGCTTAAAAAAGTCATACTTAAAGAAAAAGGACACAGAAATATTTTTTAATGGCAAAGTGTTTTCCAGCCTAACATGTTCACGTCCAAATCAAAAATACAATATGAATATCAAACAGGACAGAATTTTTGGCAAAAATACTCTAAAACAGTAAACATGACAAAAGGGACTATTTTATACTTGTTACTAATGTCATTCTACTGAAGGAATAATAGTGCTGAAAGATTATGCATTAAATAACTTCAAATAAAAAATAATTTGTACATTCTGTTTTTAAAATACAGTATTATTTACCACAACAAAATAATATGTATCCAAGCAGTACAAAAGTTTGCAAATTTAGGAGCTTCACAACTGAAGTACTTTATATCAGTAGGTTAAATAAGAAATAAATTATTAATTTAATAGGTTTTTTGAAAGCAGAAGAGAAAATTTACTATCTGTTCCTGATAAAATGGTGAAAATAGAAAAAATAAAATATTTTTCAACATAATATTGTATCCTAATTATTAATATCAAAATTAGTTCAGAATACTGAAAATGTACATATTTATAACAAGATGGGATGGAAGTTGCTATAATGATTTTACCTTAATAATATCATTTAATAGTATTTATAAAACTCTGATCAATGTAATAAAACAACCAAAGAAAGAAAAGCTACATAGAATGAAAAAAAGAGATACAACATTATGTATTGAAAAAATATTTTTATAGTGTAAAACCCCAAAGTAGTCAATGAAAACCTAAATAAACAATAATTAGTAAAATATTAAAACATACAAACATTAACAAAAGTCAACAGTGTAAATGTCAGCAATCATTAACTCACACATAAACTTTTAAAAGAGATAAAAAAAAATTCATAGACTGGTTTCAAGTGTGAAGGATAATATTTTTATATTATTAATTATTTCCCAAGTTTAATGGAAATATAATAACAATCTCCTTTTCATTTTTTACTTTTTGAGGTAGTGGTGAGAGGAATTTGATTCATTATAACTCTACAAGAAAAAGTAGTCAAGAATAGCGAAGTACAATTTTTGAGAAAGAAGAATAATGAGTGACTATTCTTATCAAATATTAAAATATAAAGTTATAATAATTAAAACCATACTGGCACCAAAATAAATATATTAATGAGGCAAAACATGTGGGCAAATAAATTATATATAAAAATGAAATATTTGGTAATGGCCACAAATTAAAGGAGAGGGAAAATGTTTTGTAATATATGGACTAACAGTTTGGAAAAAAATCAGCTTTTACACTCATTATATACATAAAATGCATTACCCAAGCTCAAACCTTAGGAAGTCTAATGAGACTTTATTTTATAGGCTTAAAACATTGTAACAAAATTGCAAAGTGAACAGTAAAATAGACTTGATTGTATTAAACACTGGATTATGTTAAAACAACAGTGTAGCAAGCAAACAGTCGCCTAGGTGCAATTGCAATTATTTGAACATAATAGCAAAGGGTTGATATGATTATTTCACAAGAGCTCATACAAACTCATACCTAATATATGAGATAAGAATGAAATCACATTTCATAAAATATGAAATATAACACATTTGCAAGCACATAAAAATCCAGCCTTAATAATAATCAAATGAATATACAATAGAATGAAAAAATGTGTTATATTTAGACTTACTCATTTAAAAATTGATGTCAAGGACTTACACTTTCAGCTGCTACATTTAGATCAGCTCATCCTATAAGGACAAGTAGAACAATAGAAAAGTTGAATAAAATCTACCAAACATTTGTTTAAAAGCACTGGAGAGCTCCACAGTGGAGAGGGCTTGAGAGCAAAGAATTTAAGAGAGATCCTAACTGCCTGTCAGAAACTAAAGTAAAACATCACTTAAAGAAGAGATGATCTTCCAGAGGTCCAAATTATCTCTACAATTTTTCATACACAATGTCTGGCATTCAATAAAATTACCAGGCATACCAGAAGACAAGAAAAAATGACTGAAAACAGAGCTAGAGGAGATCCAGATATAGGAGTAATAAATTTTAAAATATCTATGATATCTTTTAAAAATTATATAAGGAGATAGAAAATTTCAGGAGATTACTGTTAACTGTGATAAAGAATCAAGTGAAAATTCCAGAACTGAAAAATTAACTGAAGTTAAAAACTCAATAGGTGGATATATGAGCAGATTAGAAATTGTTGAGAAACATACTTATGAGCAGTAGAAAGTTTGATGTTAATACCTAACAAAGTCAGAAAAGGTGTATTGGAAAATGATTTCTGTCATGTAACTGGTGGCATGTAAACCTATATACCACTTTTTGGAAATACTTTGACAATGTGAATCCATTATTTGAACAAAAATTATTTATGTCTTTTAACCCAGTAATCTTATCTCTGGGAATGTGCCATAGGAAGTAAGTTTTTAAATGCACATGCCTCATGTATGAAGATATTCACTACAGACTTATTTATGATAGTAATAACTATCTACAGACAATGTTTAAATACTTTATTTCAATTAATGCAGGTTAATCCTCACAACAATCTATGGTGCTAGTTAACATTACTATGCTCATTTTACAGATAAGAAAACTGAAACATTGAGAAGTCAAGTAACTTGCTCAAGATTATATAGCTAGTGCATAGAGAGGCAAGGATTTGAACCAGACTGCGTGGCTCCACATGCACTTTAACCTGCTTTATTTAGGCTTTTGGAAGCAACCTAAATAGCTAACATTTGCTAAATAAGTGCAGTATACATGGTCTGAGTGATATTTTGCAGGTATTAAAAAATGAACATTCTGAACCCTGTTAGCAACATGGCAAATACTTCTGATATGATGTATGCATATAAATATGATCAAAAGGAAATATCCCAAAAGGTTAATGACAGTTATGTGAGGTTAGTAGCACAATAGTTTCTTTTCTCATTTTCTCACATTTTTAGTAATGTGTGTTGGTTGCCTATATTAAAAAACAACTACGAAAAAGTAGTAGCATGTGTTGGATCAGAACATGGGCTCAGACTGCCTGTGTCATCTCTTATTAGATGTGTGACCAGGGAAAAGTTATTGACCTTTTGTTTCTAAGTTTCTAAGTTATCCTGCAAAATGAAGATAATTGTAGTAACTACCTAATAACGTGATTGTAAGGATTAAATTATTTAGGACACTATTTGTTACTTGGAAAATATGCAAGCATAAGCTATTTTGTTGTTATTGTTATTTTACTACCAAAGCTTATTGTTTCAGAGTCCCTCGGTGACCAGGCAAAAAACAGTTCCCTCCAGCTGGTCCTCAGATGGGCACATCTATTAGTAAGTTTCATTTCTGTATGTGGATCTGTATTCATCCTTACAATGAATTCCCCAATACTGAAGTTTCTAGGAACCTACCTACCATTGGCTGAAGGGTTGCTTCTGAATTCTTTCCCAGAGGCAGTGACAAAAATCAAATATCTGATGTATTCTTTAACTTTCAGTAAGCTCAGGTTCCCTGCTTGTGTCACATCTCTAAACATACATACATGCGTGATTGAAACTGTCTATTGAAAGCAATGTTACATTAACATTATCAATACTGAATTAGAGGAAATATCTATCAATGTCACCAATTCCACCTGTCTCTTGATGCATGACTTTTTACCTGACAGGGTAAATAACAATAGAAAGTTTTTTTAAAAAAATAGAAGAGTTGTTATGAAGGGATTTTTCTGAATTAAGTGCCCCAGAGAGACTAGGATGTGCTTTAAAACTTTTTGTTCCACCTGGCAGATCCAAAAAAATTTGGAAGCTTTTGGTTGAACTCCCTCATTACTTGAAGTTGTTTCATTAACATTGAATATATATATCTTTTAGGTTACCAAGGCTTATGGTTAGCTATCTTAATGGCTAGTGATATAAGACCTTTGTAACAAACCCTACCAATGGAACTGACAGGATTTTACCAGGGAGGATATTGCAGTCCTTGTAAGAGGAAGGATACAAATTGGCATTTCATACATTTGTGAGAGCAATCCCCTTTAATGTGTCTGTTTGATTTTCATGATATTGCAGGCCTCTGCTCTTGTAAGAAGTTAGCTGCAGAACCCACATGTGAATTCTTGTAGGTGAGTCCACCATTTCACTAATACTGTCTGTGTTTTCATTGCCTCAATTAAGTCCGTCTGTCATTCATTGGCAAAGTCCTTTGGTTAAACTTCCTAATAATTCTCAGCTCTATCATATGGTAAATGTTTAACACATTGCTTTAATGTTTGAGTTTCTCATTTTTGCTGGAGTTATTATTCCTCTCAGGCTTATTCGTGAATGCATTTCTGGATTTATGCCTCCCGCGACCCATTCCAGGATTTACCCCAAACCTTCCACACTGTTTGCTAACAAAAGTTCTGTTATGACACAATAGTACTTATTAAGACAGATTTACCATCTAAGTCTCAGGACAGCATTTCACAACCATAAATAACTGATTACATGAAGAACCAGAGTCTGGTAGTAGTGAAATTCATTTTCCTTCTTGAAAAAGTGGATCAAAGGATTCAACCAACAAGTGGTGAATCAATAAAAAGCAGTAAAATAGTGAGAAAAAATGTTACCAAAAGACCTCAAGATTACTGATGCATATGAATTGCTTTTTTATATAGGAAAATACTGGATCATTTCTTATTATCATAGTATAATTAGAAGCAATTTCATGTGTTCATTTTGCCACATGAGTTTAAACGGAATTGGATTTGGTTGCCTCTCTAACATGAGTTCAGTGTCTGAACTTGGGCAAATTTCTAAACAATTCTGAGCTTCACTACCTCTGCTTGAAAATGAGAACAATTGTATTTATCTATTATTTGTCTATTAGGTTATGAGAGCAAAAATGTTATAACATGAAACACCTGGCATCCAGCAAGCAATTAATGCTAGTCCTTCCCACCCCTATTTATGGAGGTAGAAAGGAAAAAGATAACAGACAGCTCTACTTTTATTTTTACATATATCCTTCATTGATTATCTTATGAGTAAATTTTAAAACAGGCAAAATTGTCATCTCTTCATCCTTCATTTCTCAGTGCTTTATCAAATTTCTACTATGAACTAAGAACTGAGTGCTATTGGAGACACAAAGAAGAGTCAGGTATTGTTCTGTTCTCAAGGACATTAGCATCTAGAAAGGGAGATTTTTTTTAATGCCATTAGAGAGACAAAATAAAGCACTGTCCTAGTTTTAAGCAGGAAAAATCATTTTAACCGGGGTTACCAGGAAAGGTTTCATGGAATAGGTAGTGTTTGGGCTTTAAAGAATGGATATAGTTTGGAAAGCAAGGAGAGAGGAAATACAATGAGTCATGACTGAAGCACAGTTGACCCTTGAACAACACAAGTTTGAACTGTGTGGGTCCACGTATAGTGGATTCTTGTCATCCAGAAGTGGATCAAAAATATGGTATTTGCTGGATGCAAAAAGCCATGTATAGCGAGGACCGACTTTTCCTCTATGTGGATTCAGCAGGGTCCACTTGAGTATACCAGGATTTTGGTATGCTGTGGGGTGGCCTGGAACCAATCCCCTGCGCATGCCAAGGGGAGGGACAACTGTAGTATAATTGAGAGAAAAACCATTGCCCCAGGATTGGAAAGACAGATTGGCATTACCTTGGATGAACCACTTCTCCCCTCTAGCCTTCAGCTTCTTCACTTGTGAGAGATGTAGAATAATCCCTGCCCTGTTGGTCTTTCAGGACTGTGGAGAAGGTCAAATGGGAGCTTGGATGTGGAAGCTCTTTGGCAACCAAGAAACACTCTGCAAATGAAAAGGGTATCGTTTTTCCTTTTCTCCCTTGTACCGTAAATTTCATGATGGCACTTAACAGAGCCAGTCATTTTGGTATTTAAAAAATGTTTGGTGAAATAATTAGTTATTGGTTGAATGAATGAATTTATAAGTGAGTAAATGAATTAAACAAAGGTATGGAGTAGGAAAGCACACAATATGAGCAGAGAATAAGGGGTTATTTCTGGAAGCATGCACTAGAACTGGATGTTAGGGATGTGAATGTGGCTAGCTGGAATGGGTCTGTGGTTCTCACAAGGTGATCTGTTGACCAGCAGTGTCAATACCAGCGGTTAACTTGTTAGAAATGCAAAATAATTATGAATTTGAAACTCAGGGTGGGACCCAGCAATCTGTTTCTCTCTGGGTCGTTCTGATGCATAGCAAAGTTTTGAGAACCATGACTTTGTATTAAAGTGAGGAGTTTGGAAATTATTTTTCTCTAAGTTCAGTGCTAATGAAGATTTTCAACTGTGGGTGGACATAATCACAGCTGTATTTCTAGGATGATAAGGCAGGAGGTTGTACCTACAATATCTATGACTTCAGCATTAAAAGGACAATTAGAAGTACTGGAAAACACACTGTATTTGCCAAGCTCCAGAGATGAAGATTTTGCTTTTTCCTATTTCCAAATAATATCCCCATACTTACCTAAGAGATAAAGCAGAACAAGCATTGCTTCCAGGCACTGGGGGATCTCACTTGGTCTGCAGAGACCAGGCAGGATGAGAATGTTTATGTGAAAACAAAAATGAGAGCAGACTGTCAAATATGGCCCCAACCTTTCTGCAGAAGTAAGTAAGCCTTTAGTCCTGACCAACTGTGAGGAAACATTAAATGGAACCTTCCAAACTGGTTTAAAGTAGGCAGCTAAGCCTATGCCAAGGACTAAGCCACCTATGTCGTTAGGGCTGGTGGATACAAATCTGCCAAAGGAGAGCACATTACATGGAGGAAAAATGAAGACCCTCAGGGAAACATTTATCCTAAAGGGGAAAGAGTCAAGACAGAGATATCATGGTCAGCTGGGAAGGAGATGGAGGGGAGAGGCAGGAGGTGAGCTGTTCAGATTGCTAGCATGACCAATCCAGATGGCTAGGATGACCAGTCATCCTGGTTTGCCCAAGAGTTAGGGAAATCCCACAATGTAGGATTTCCAGTACAATCCTTGTCAAACCAGGACAATTGATTACCTTAAGACTGCCCTTTCACCTGTGTTCAATACCTGGGGAGAAGGCATAATAAAAATAGAAAAAATCACTGCTCTCAACGTCACTTCTCAAAATATTGTCCAGAAACTAGCAGCATAGGCTTCACCTGGGAGCTTGTTAGAAATGCAGATATTCAGGCATCCTAGACCTACTGAATCAGAATCTGCACATTGACAAGAGCCCTGAGTGATTTGTATGCACATTACAGTTTGTCTTAAAAGATCCTGTGGCATCCTCTGGTAAATAATGGAGCACAAATAGAGAGCAGAAATAATTTCCTCTGGGCTGTAATATGGCTAATATCCAGGTTGATCAGGTACTAAACTAAAACCAGATCAACCTTGCCTGGGAAGGAGGCAACCTAGGAATGGAGAGCAACCCAGGCAGAGAGGGAGAAAGATGGCTGACACAAATTAGCCAAGAGGGTAATTGAACTATTAATTCAACTATTAATAGTAGTAGTATTTGTAGGGAATGTGAGAAAAACCAGCAAGCCAGCAACTGTATGGTAAGAATAAAGCTAGAGAAATACTCTTCTGTTGCCAGTACTGTGACCCTTCTAGGCTGATGTGGGCTGGGAAATGGGTTATGCTTAGAAATGTGGAGCCTGCCAGATGTGGTGACTCACACCTGTAATCCTAGTACTTTGGGAGGCCGAGGCGGGTGAATAACCTGAGGTCAGGGGTTCAAGACCAGCCTGACCAACATGGAGAAACCCCGTCTCTACTAAAAATACAAAATTAGCCTGGCGGTGATGCATGCCTGTCATCCCAGCTGCTCGAGATGAGGCAGGAGAATCGCTTAAACCCGGGAGGCGGAGGTAGCAGTGAGCCAAGATCACGCCATTGAACTCTAGCTTGGGCAACAAGAGTGAAACTCCATCAATATCACAAAAAAAAAAAAAAAAGAGAGAGAGAGAGAGAGAAAGAATGTGGAGCTGCAAGTAGTGAGCTTGCAGTAGTAAGCTTGTAGAGAAAAATCCAAAATGATCATCCACTATAAGTGTTCAACTCTAGATCTTGGCCTCATCCACTTGCATGTCATTCAAATATAGTGTGCAAAGAAAGTTTAGTTGTCTTTTTTCTGCCTGGTCTGATCCTCTTCATGGTTTCCAGCTCTGCAGTCTAGCAGGGATAATTGACACTTAATTATAGTGTTTCATTCTCCTCTAGCTTGAATGTATTTCTTTCACTTTCAACATTGAAGCCAGTAGTTCTTAAAATCAAACATGCAAACATGCATCAGTCACCTGGAGGGCTTGTTAAAACACAGATTACTGGGTCTGCCCTCAAGGTTTCTGATACAGCACATCTGAGGTGGAGCCCTAGAATTTGCATTTCTAATGAGTTCCCAGGTGATGCCGACATTTTTAGTCCACAGGCTACCTTTAAGAACCTCCGATTCAAACTATTCAGAGTTTATTTCATATCCAAAAGTGATTATTTAAAAATTATTTTAGATTAATGCTCCTCAAACTGATTGATTTTTCCAATCATGTACCAAATACATAATTCTATTGCACATGACCAGTATTCAGCTTTTGCCACAAGCAACTCACCATGCCAGTTCCACACACCTGAACTGATCATATCCTATTTAACAAGATCAGTCCACTGATCACATACTAGGATGTCATGGCAATGTGAATTTATGATATAAGTTTCTAAACATGAGCTTTCATCTGTATTTATATCACCCCCAAACAGGAACAGTTTGCGGACTGGCACTGGCCCTTGGACCACACTTTGAGTGACATTGTTATAGATGACAGGGTCTCTTATAGGAAAATGCACAGTCTTTCTTAGATTCTCTACCTTCCTCTTCCATCTCATTCCCAACATAGATCTGGGTACAAGAGTGGGGTCTTATTATAATCTTGTGGCACCTGGGGATCATGCACTATCCTCTAAATAATCAATAGTTTCTACTATGGAGAGGCTCAGTATCTTCTCCCCTGGAATTGGGACCACTGAAATATAACTAGAAGCCAACTGATCTTTTGGGATGTTGTGTGCTTAGTCTTACCGCTACTGCCATAGTTCTGAACGTTTCCCCAAGCATCAAAAAGGCCCCATGACCTCTTTTCCCCCAGACCTCTGCCAGTCCACCGACATTCTCAGTGGGGAAGTAAGAAGCCTGGTGGGTCCTGCTTCCCACGCAAAGGTCGTGATGAGACAGATGCTTTCTAAGTCCCATATATCTACCCACCTTCTGCTGTCACCTCTGTACCTCCTGAGTCACATGGAATGTTGTGCTGAGCCAAATGGTCAGTCTTCTAGAAGCAGTAGAATATTGGAGGCAGCTTATACCTTAGCTGATTCTTAAATTTTCAGGAATTTTGTGAGCCAGTTTTTAAACATGGCCATTGTTGAAAATTAAACAATATAAACTTATAATCAAATATATTATATTAAAAATAAAGAATTAATGTCTCCAACTCATCACTTCCTGTTTATTGTTTTACACTTTACTACTATCTATGCCCATCGTATGTGTATGGTGGAAATACTACATAATGATATTTAATGGTGTGCCGCCACACAGCTCTTCCCAACTCTGCATTCAGTGACATCACTTTGGTAGCTTGAAATCAGCCATGATAGAAATACTATGTCTTAGAAATTGGCAAATATTACAAATCAGCATTCCACCCTCCCTTACCTCCCCACCCCCCAGCCAGCTATTAAACATTTACCAGCACACAACCACCCAGAGCCTGCATCTGGGAAAGTGAGCCACTAACCCGATGACCTGTGATAACCCTATACATACCTAGCTGTTACTAAGCTGCCGTTCCCATAAGGGTCAGCCCCAGAAAGGTGTGTGTGCAGAGGAGAATAAAAACTGAAACCCTAAGATCATCTTATTTACTTGCCCTATTCCTGCCTCTTTTCTCTCCCTGCCATCTCTGGGGTCCAGAAGGAGAAGCTTTTTATTTCCTCCGGAGTTTATTCTTATACATCAAGGATAAACATTCATGACCTAACATCACCTCTCTTATTTTCTCCCACCAAAGCTATAAGGATAGTCTAATCATGAAACAACATTAAACAAACTCAAAATGGGGACAGTCTATAAAATACCTAACCAGTTCTCTTCAGAACAGTTAAGGTCCTGAAAGGCGAGGAGAGAACAAGAAACAATCACAACTTGGAGGACATTAATGCACTACATTTAATATGGTTTCATAAGTTGGGCTGAAAAGAAAAGGACAGTAGAAAAACTGGGATATAAGAATACAGTCTGAGTATAGTACTAATGTGAAGTTTTTAATCTCCAACTTAATAACATGGTTATAGAAAATATAAACATTAGGCAAAGTTGGGTGAAGGATATACAGGAATTCTACTATCTATACAACTTTTCTGTAAATATAAAATTATTTCAAAATAAAACTAATCTAAGAAAAAAACATGGCCTGCATAATAGGTAGAATGGATATCTTCTCTAGTCTATGAAAAACCCTGTGTCCTACATTCGCTTGCTTTGTGTTATCGTAAAAGGGGGAAAGGAAGGGATGATAGAAACATTATTTCTCTTAATAAACTTGGATTTTAAAGTCTTTTATCTTTTCACAGCATAAAACATTCCACTTAGGATGTTATAGGTTGAGCATTAACTTTCTCTTTCTCCTTTTCTTTATAGTGTTTCTGTAATAGTTCAAATCCCCCCCACCCTGAGGGTGGATGTTTCTAGATGATGAAGGAGATCATAAACAGAGAGTAGATTAATATAATTACCTTTATTTCTTGTCTATTTGCAAATGGGCCA